CTCCTTCGGAATGAAAAACTCCCCCTCTTCATTTCAGAAACTTATCCATCAGGCTATTAAAGGACTTGAAGGCACGGCAGCATACCTGGATGATATTGTTGTGGTGTTTGATACTTAGGATCAACACCTATTTAGACTTAATGCTCTTTTTGAGACCTTTCAGAGTTCCCATTTAACTGTTAATTTATCTAAGTCTTCCTTTGACCAGGCCACTGTCACTTTTCTAGGCCATGAAGTAGGTAGTGGTAAAGTTGCTCCTAAACTTGCTAAAGTTCTTACCATTAAAGATTACCCAGTTCCACATGATAGGAAATCTCTTCAACGTTTCCTAGGCATGATAGGATTTTACAGAAGATTCTGTAAGAATTTTTCAGACATTGTAGCCCCTCTTACCTCTCTTACCAGTCACAAAGTTCCCTTTAATTGGACCCCAGAATGTCAAAGTGCTTTTGACAAAGCAAAAAGATTATTGTGCACTGCACCCATTCTTTTGTCTCCAGATTTCTCAAAACCTTTCTCATTACAGGTTGATGCTTGTGAGTCTGGGGTTGGGGCAGTACTATTGCAAAATGGGGACCAGGAGTTGCAGCCTGTAGCCTACTTCTCAGCCAAATTCCAGCCGCATCAGAGGGCTTACTCTACCATTGAAAAAGAAGCCCTCGTGCTGGTACTGGCTTTGGAGCATTTCGACGTTTATGTGGGCCAGACATCGCACGTGGTCACTGTTTACAGTGATCACAATCCTCTAGTATATCTCCAAGCCATGAAGAACCACAACACAATGCTCATGAGGTGGACGCTCAGACTACAACCCTACTCTCTCAAAATTAAATATATTGCCGGCAAAGGCAATATGTTGGCAGACTCTTTATCTAGAGTCTAACAATATTTAATTATATATTAGGTTAGGATGTGTTAGGTTACTTGTGGTAACCCCTTCCAAGCTCTTTTTATTCATCCCCTGGTGTCGGGTTTTTTTTTAGTGAGGGGATGCGGGCAACCGTCCGCCTGTGTCTTGGACTTAAGCTAGCTCGACTGTCTGCCGTCTCGCTCTGAGTTTAGGGTTTGGCTTTTTGTCACAAGAAAAGCTGAGCTCTATCTAAGAGTTGGATGGTTGAGAGGAAAGGCGGTCCTATTATTTTGTGCCATGGCAGCACGGTTACCACTGGGAGGTGGCAGCTAACCAGGTTCCAGCCAATAAGATGGTTTTGGCAATCGCAGAGGTTATGTGGGTACCACTCTCCTGTCTGCCCTTGTCATGGTTGAAGCACGGTCTGCTCTCTAGTGGCTTCTATTCTGCCTTGCTTACCATGGAGTGAACTAATACCTATCACTGTACATAGTGTAGTGTACATACTTCTGTTCTAAATTGGTGAAGGATAATATAAGTCAAAACTTTTCTGCTGTGTTTATTTTGCTCCCTTTACACCCAAGATAACAGGCTATTTGGAATCCTGGGCTGTAATAACGGGTCTGTGTTCAGTGTGCACCACATAAAAAAATCCTGCAGCACGCAGTGCATAATGAGAAAAAAAAACTCATTTTTTTGGATTAAAATGCCGACTTTGAGATGTACAGTGGACCCCCGCATAACGATTACCTCCGAATGCGACCAATTATGTAAGTGTATTTATGTAAGTGCGTTTGTACGTGTATGTTTGGGGGTCTGAAATGGACTAATCTACTTCATAATATTTCTTATGGGAACAAATTCGGTCAGTACTGGCACCTGAACATACTTCTGGAGTAAAAAAATATCGTTAACCGGGGGTCCACTGTATTTTCATATAGTATTTATCGTTGTATTCTCATTTTCATGGTCTCAAGTGATAAAATGGAAAACATATTGCAGAAATAGAGATGATTTTGATTAGTTTCACGATGAAAACGGCCTTGAAATTGAGCTCAAAGTAGCAGAAATGTTCAATTTTTACCAATGTTCAAGAGTAAGCAAATCACACCACACGTCCAATACACATCAACTGGGGAGTCTAATATTCTTTCACTAGTGCACTGATATTATTTATACCATTTTTACAATAATGCAGTAGTCTGCATAACAGTAAATTTTGTATTTTTTGTATGAATAAAAAATCAAAATAGAAAGCAATAGTAATATAAGAGGGGCCTAGAGATGTGACTAATGAACAGAGGATATGTTATTTTAGTGCCAAGAATGTCTACATTGTTTATTCTGGACCCTATTTTGAAATTGGCATCTTTTTTAATTTGCATAAAATTGGCCAAATTGCCAATTTCTGACCACCTTATTGGGTAGTTCAAATCGGTAAATGGGCAGTTTCTTGTACTCAATTGATAGAAAAAATGTAGTTCTAAAGAAATAGCTATGAGTTTGGTCAACTGGAACAACAAAATTGGCCAAAAACAGGGCTCAAAGTTGGCGAAATCGCTGATGCGTATATGTCATCGAGACCGCTAACTTCGCGGGAGTGTAATTCCATGAGTTTTCTACCAAATTTCGTACTTTTGGTGTCATTACCATCAGGAAAAGATTCTCTATCATTTCATAAGAAAAATAATTTTTTTTTTCCAAAAATTTTGCAACGTAGAATGACAGTTTCAGAAAGAGGCTTGCGACAGTCAAATGGTTAAATGACCAAACCACCTCAACAGCCCTTCTTCAGCCCTCTTGACTAATACTTTTAGTAACTCCACACCTAATTTCCACACTACAAATTGTCTTCATAATATTTACACCACATACGGCCCTTTGACATGACATCTCTACTGCCTCCAGCCACCTCCTCACTGCAGCATTTACAACCCATGGTTCACACCCATATAAGTGTGTTGGTGCCACTATACTCTCTTACATTCCCTTCTTTTCCTCAATGGGTAACGTTTTTTGTCTCCACTCACCTTTTTTCCTTCATCAATTCTATGGTTTACCTCATCCTCCATAAACCCATATGCTGACAAGGCAACTCCCAAATATTTGAAAACTTTCAATTCTTCCATACTCCCTCCCTCCAATGTAATATCCAATTTTTCTTTATCTAAACCATTTGATACCCTCATCACCTTACTCTTATCTATATTCACTTTCAACTTTCTACCTTTACACATTCTGAACAATCATATAAACATAAGAGTGTTTGGAGATGTTTATGTGAGTACTTATCAAGTGGCAGACAGCTGCAAGCTGTCTGCCACTTGATGAGTTGATACCTCTCATACATTGGTGGGATACGGCTGGTTTGTTGAAAGAAGACCTCTCATACACTGAATCAGATGAAGCAGACAATTCAATATATAATTTTATCTGTAATAGTAACAAGAAGTTTTTTTATCTTACCTTAATTTCTTTGTTATCTTGCATGTGCATGTAGAAGTGTTTGTAGATGGTTATGTAGCTCATTAGCTCAGTACACTGTTGAAGGTGGTTTGTTTTGTTAGCTGACAGGCCTGGTGGCTAAAGCTCTTGCTTCACACACGGAGGGCCCAGGTTCGATTCCCGGCTGGTAGAAACATTTCGACAAGTTTCCTTACACCTGTTGTTCTGTTCACCTAGCAGCAAATAGGTACCTGGGTGTTAGTCAACTGGTGTGGGTCACATCCTATGGGACAAGATTGAGGACCCCAATGGAAATAAGTTAGACAGTCCTCAATGATGCACCACCTCTCTTGGGTTATCCTGGGTGGCTAACCCTTCGGGGTTAAAAATCCGAAGAAATCTTATCTTATAAAATGAGGCCTGGTCACAGACCGGGCTGCAGGGGCGTTGACCCCCAGAACTGTCTCCAGGTAAACAGGTAAACTTCATCACATGACACCATCACATTTCTCTACACAATTCTAATATTTACAATAGAAACGATACAGAATTTTTATCCTACCTCAAAGTCTTCATTCTCTTGCTTGTTAGTAAAGAAGTGTTTAGAATTGTTTATGTAACTAGTGAGCAGTAGATGGCTGTAAGCCATCTTCTCTTCTTTCAACAAACTGGCCGTATCCCATTGAGGCAGGGTGACCCAAAAAGAAAAACAAAAGCTTCTCTTTTTAACTTTAGTAATGTATACAGGAGAAGGGGTTACTAGCCCCTTGCTCCCGGCATTTTAGTCGCCTCTTACGACATGCACAGCTTATGGAGGAAGAATTCTGTTCCGCTTCCTCATGGAGATAAGAGTAAACAAACAAGAACAAGAACTAGTAAAAAATAGAAGAAAACCCAGAGGGGTGTGTATATATATGCTTGAAGATTGAGACACTTATGCAGCATATGGGAATCTTTATTCAGGAAACGTTTCGCCACACAGTGGCTTCATCAGTCCAATTGGACTGATGAAGCCACTGTGTGGCGAAACGTTTCCTGAATAAAGATTCCCATATGCTGCATAAGTGTCTCAATCTTCAACTTGTCGGTTTTTCAAACCATTCATCACATATATATGCTTGTACATGCATGTGTAGTGTGACCTAAGTGTAAGTAGAAGTAGCAAGATGTACCTGAAATCTTGCATGTTTATGAGACAGAAAAAAAGACACCAGCAATCCTACCACCATGTAAAGCAATTACAGGATTTCATTTTACACTTGCTGGCAGGACGGTAGTACCTCCCAGGGTGGTTGCTGTCTACCAACCTACTACCTAGGCTTTAAGTCATCTGTTTGTGTTTAATAAGTTGACAGCTGTGAGTCAGTCATCTGTTAAGGTTAAGAGGGCTACCACAGCACACTTTTGGCCAGAGTCGGCAATCAGCTCTTCCCAGGGCATATGAAGCTCTGAACAGGAAAGTTTCCATGCCTGAACAACTTATTTAAAACTTTTATGATTGGTAAATCCAGACAAAACTGTGTTTTAATCATTTTTTCAATATAAATGCAAATAGTATTCTATCATAAAATGCACTATGTAAGCATGTGCTATGAGCAGTCACTCTCTCTCTCTCTCTGTGCATGAAACAGTAAGGATTTTTGGCAAAAAAAAAGTCAGGGATTAACACAGATACAGTCAAAATATACTTGAGTAAATACTATACCTCTGGCACATGAAGATGAATATTGGACTTATCCAGCATGTTATTGTCAGGGAACATCTTTGCTAGGAAGTGCTTAGCGTAAGTGTAAGCGATTCTGGTTGATTCCTTCATTACATCGCCAAGGTGACCAGTTGTTTCTAATCGTCCATCTTTACCTTCCTCAGCAGAACGTGCCATTGTCTCGATATATAAAGTTGATCCACCTGTAAACCCAAAGACGTGAATTAATACCAATGCTATTCACAGTGTACAGTATTTATCAATGTCAACCCAAGCATTTAGTTAAAAACTCAAAAGTATAAACTCTCTAAGAGAACGAAGTCAGGTGCTACAAGGCAGCTTCCTTTTTTTGTAAGAAAACAAGGTATGCTCAGTAAGCATCAAACATTTTCTTTCATGAACTGTCACAAAACTGAGATGCAATGATGTACTTCTTTAGAGTCTGAGGGTTTAGAAAACATGTATACACAACATAAACATACACAGGTCCAAATGCTTCACATTACTACTGTTCACACACACACATATACACACATAATGCCTAAGAGGCTCTCTTTTCATTGCAACCCATTATTGTAAATACAAAATTTCAATGTACTATTTGCAAAGACATAAATAAATAAATAAATAAATTAAATAAATTTACAGGCACTGTTGCATTCTGGAAGTCCTTGAAATTACCATCAAGATATTTTACACTCTAAACATGAAGGTAGGTAAAATGAAAGGGGGTAAGGCAGCCGGGATTGATGGGATAAAGATAGAAATGTTAAAAGCAGGTGGGGATATAGTTTTGGAGTGGTTGGTGCAATTATTTAATAAATGTATGGAAGAGGGTAAGGTACCTAGGGATTGGCAGAGAGCATGCATAGTTCCTTTGTATAAAGGCAAAGGGGATAAAAGAGAGTGCAAAAATTATAGGGGGATAAGTCTGTTGAGTGTACCTGGTAAAGTGTATGGTAGAGTTATAATTGAAAGAATTAAGAGTAAGACGGAGAATAGGATAGCAGATGAACAAGGAGGCTTTAGGAAAGGTAGGGGGTGTGTGGACCAGGTGTTTACAGTGAAACATATAAGTGAACAGTATTTAGATAAGGCTAAAGAGGTCTTTGTGGCATTTATGGATTTGGAAAAGGCATATGACAGGGTGGATAGGGGGGCAATGTGGCAGATGTTGCAAGTGTATGGTGTAGGAGGTAGGTTACTGAAAGCAGTGAAGAGTTTTTACGAGGATAGTGAGGCTCAAGTTAGAGTATGTAGGAAAGAGGGAAATTTTTTCCCAGTAAAAGTAGGCCTTAGACAAGGATGTGTGATGTCACCGTGGTTGTTTAATATATTTATAGATGGGGTTGTAAGAGAAGTAAATGCGAGGGTCTTGGCAAGAGGCGTGGAGTTAAAAGATAAAGAATCACACACAAAGTGGGAGTTGTCACAGCTGCTCTTTGCTGATGACACTGTGCTCTTGGGAGATTCTGAAGAGAAGCTGCAGAGATTGGTGGATGAATTTGGTAGGGTGTGCAAAAGAAGAAAATTAAAGGTGAATACAGGAAAGAGTAAGGTTATGAGGATAACAAAAAGATTAGGTGATGAAAGATTGAATATCAGATTGGAGGGAGAGAGTATGGAGGAGGTGAACGTATTCAGATATTTGGGAGTGGACGTGTCAGCGGATGGATCTATGAAAGATGAGGTGAATCATAGAATTGATGAGGGAAAAAGAGTGAGTGGTGCACTTAGGAGTCTATGGAGACAAAGAACTTTGTCCTTGGAGGCAAAGAGGGGAATGTATGAGAGTATAGTTTTACCAACGCTCTTATATGGGTGTGAAGCATGGGTGATGAATGTTGCAGCGAGGAGAAGGCTGGAGGCAGTGGAGATGTCATGTCTGAGGGCAATGTGTGGTGTGAATATAATGCAGAGAATTCGTAGTTTGGAAGTTAGGAGGAGGTGCGGGATTACCAAAACTGTTGTCCAGAGGGCTGAGGAAGGGTTGTTGAGGTGGTTCGGACATGTAGAGAGAATGGAGCGAAACAGAATGACTTCAAGAGTGTATCAGTCTGTAGTGGAAGGAAGGCGGGGTAGGGGTCGGCCTAGGAAGGGTTGGAGGGAGGGGGTAAAGGAGGTTTTGTGTGCGAGGGGCTTGGACTTCCAGCAGGCATGCGTGAGCGTGTTTGATAGGAGTGAATGGAGACAAATGGTTTTTAATACTTGACGTGCTGTTGGAGTGTGAGCAAAGTAACATTTATGAAGGGATTCAGGGAAACCGGCAGGCCGGACTTGAGTCCTGGAGATGGGAAGTACAGTGCCTGCACTCTGAAGGAGGGGTGTTAATGTTGCAGTTTAAAAACTGTAGTGTAAAGCACCCTTCTGGCAAGACAGTGATGGAGCGAATGATGGTGGAAGTTTTTCTTTTTCGGGCCACCCTGCCTTGGTGGGAATTGGCCAGTGTGATAATAAAAAAAAAAAATAAACATGAAGGGTGTGTCCCTGTTCTTTGCTGGGTGCCTTGTGTGTGTGTGTGTACATGTAAGTGTGTGCACACATAACATCTCTTCTGAGAGCATTTCTTGTCTGTAGCAGGAAGTGATCACCAAACTTGAAACAAGAGGGTGATGTGGTGATGAGTATGGCAGTACAGGTGTACTGCAGTACTGCAGGTGCTATGACCTGATATTTGTGTATTATTTGTCTAATGACAGACAAACAAAAGTGGCTTCATGGCAGCCTGTTGCCAGTCCTGACCTAGTACATATCGTATGCATTGAGCAGTGCAATGTCTACAATATGGAAAAAACAATTCATATATGTACAGTGGACCCTCGGTTATCGGCCGTTCCGGATATCGGCCATTCCAGATATCAGCCAATTCGGATTTCGGCCGCTTTCTTGGCCGAAATTCTATCCTGGTTTTCAGCCGTCATTTCTGAGATTGGCTGCATTGGACGCATAATAATAATCACTCTTGGACACATTAAATGTCTTATTTAAGGTTAATATAGATATTTTTCATTAATCCATCTGTGAAATTTTCCTCAAAATTATATAAGAAACACGTTACATAGCACAGTGGATCCTCAGTTAACCCTTTCAGGGTTTCAGACGTACTAGTACGGCTTACGCACCAGTGTCCATGATGTACTAGTACGCATAAATTCTAGCGCCTTTAAATCTAGTGAGAGAAAGCTGGTAGGCCTACATATGAAAGAGTGGGTCTATGTGGTCAGTGTGCGCAGTATAAAAAAAATCCTGCAGTACACAGTGCGTAATGAGAAAAAAAAAACTTTGACCATGTTTTTGGATTAAAACAGAGACCTTGCACTATATTTTTGTATGGTATTTATTGTTGTATTCTAGTTTTCCTGATCTCATTGTATAGAATGGAAGACATACTACAGAAATTGAGATGATTTTGACTGGTTTTACAATGAAAAGTACCTTGAAATTGAGCTCAAAGTAGCAGAAATGTTCAATTTTTACCAAAGTTCAAAAGTAAACAAATCATGCTAAGCGTTCAATACACGTCAACTGGTGAGTCTAATATTCTTTCACAAGTGCGCCGATATTATTTATACCATTTCTACACTAATGCAGTAGTCTGCATAACAGTAAATCTTATTTTTTTGTGAGAATAAAAATTCAAAGTGGAAAGCAAAAAAATGTAAGAGGGGCCTGGGGACGTGACTAATGAACAGAGGAAATGTTATTTTAGTGCCAGGAATGTCTTTCTTGTTTATTCTGGACCCTCTTTGGAAATTGGCATCTTTTGAAATTTATGTGAAATTGGCCAAATTGCTAAATTTCTAACCACTTTATTGGATAGTTGAAATCGGTAAATTGGTGGTTTCTTATACTCATTCGATAGAAAGAATGGAGTTCTAGCGAAATAGTTATGATTTTTGTTGACTAGTACATGTACATTGAAATTGGCCGAAAAATAGGGCTCAAAGTCGGGAAAATTGCCAATGCGTAAACATCGTCGAGACCGGTAACTTCGCGAGAGCATAATTCCGTAAGTTTTCCATCAAATTTCCTACTTTTGGTGTCATTATGATTGGAAAAAGATTCTCTATCTTTCCATAAGAAAAAAAAATTTTTTTTTTTTTTTTGAAATTTGGGGACCCTGAGAACAAGTCTCTGAGAGGGCCTGTGGACCCTGAAAGGGGTTAACAATGCCATCAGATAGTGATAAAATCGGATACTGTTACACTTTTGTGTCAAAATACTGGCTCGGCTAACGATAAAAAACTCAGTTAAGGACATTCGTCCAGAAAGTGTCCGCGCAGCCTGAGCCACCTGGCCACTCCAGTGTGACTAGTGTGTCACTGTTTACAAGCCACTGCGGACGATTCTACGCATACATACGATACATTTTGTGTTATTCCATTGTTTTTAGTGCTTGTAACTGCTAAATAAGCCACCACAGGCCCAAAGAAAGCTTCTAGTGCCAACCAGCCCTTTGGTAAAGGGCTGAGAGAGAGGGGAGAATGTGCCTTTTTCAGTGATTCTGCAATATGCATGATACTAAAGCAGCAGGAGTCTATAAAGGCTATAGAGGCAGCCAGTGTAGTATTAACTGCAGCAAGCAAGTTAAGCGATTAATCGAAAGAAAAACGACAGCACGAACCTAACTTCTCCAATGCTGTTGGAGTTATGTAGGGCGACTGGCAACACCGCAGTCTCTACCACCTCTGCTGCCGCCTCCACCACCACTATGTATGGCTTATGCTCTCAGTGGCCCTTATACACCCAACAACAACAGCACAGCAGCACTCGTGGCATGCTGAATAACGTATTTTATTCATTCTAGAGTATCTGTCATGTTTCTATGTTATTAATATTGTTTACTATGTCATATTAGATGAATTGTGCTAGATAAATAAGCCATAAAGCTGATATTAGTGTCATATTGAAGGACTATCTTGTGTCTCCCAACACAATTCCTAACATACGCCAGAAACAGACCTCTCTGGAAAACTTTTTTGAGCGACAGCGGTCCAGTGGCTCTCAAGCTGGTCCTAGTGGCATTTAAAAACAAAGGAGGGAAGTAACCCAGGATAAGAACTTGGTACCTGAAGTCTTTATGGAGTGGGATTTCCCTTCCAAACAATTGTAAACTCCTCTATCCTCTCCTCTCCTCCCGTCTTCCATACATCACCATGTCTTCAATAAAGGTAAGTGTGATGTTATTGTTTTATTCCTCATGTATCATTGTTTTCTGTGTAGGGAAATGTATATTTCATGTAAAAAAATTATTTTGTTTAATACTTTTGGATGTCTGAAATGGATTAATTGGATTTCCATTATTTCTTATGGGGAAAATTAATTTGAATAACGATAAAAATCGGTTAAGGACGAGCTCTCTGGAACAGATTAATATCGCTAACTGAAGGTCCACTGTATATATAAAAACATGCAATGTTTATATGTGATGTATGTTTAATAATAATCACTCTTGGGCACATTAAATGTCTTATTTTAGGTTAATATAGACATTTTCATTAACCCTTTCAGGGTTTTTAATGTACTAGTACGTCTTACACACCAGTGTTGGTGACGTACAAGTACGCATAAATTCTAAAGCCCTCAAATCAAGTGGGAAAAGGCTGGTAGGCCTAGATCTGAAAGAATGGGTCTGTGTGGTCAGTGTGCGCAGTATAAAAAAAATCCTGCAGCACACAGTACATAATGAGGAAAAAAAACTCTGACCGTGTTTTTGGTTTAAAACAGTGACTTTGTAGTCTATTTTCATATGGTATTTATGTTGTATTCTCATTTTTGTGGTCTCATTTGATATAATGGAAGATATATTACAGAAATACAGGTAATTTTGATTGGTTTCACGATGACAAGTACATGTACCTTGAAAATGAGCACAAAGTAGCGTAAATGTTCGACTTTTGCCAATGTTCAAGAGTAAACAAATCACGCCACGTGTCCAATATACATCAACTGGTGAGTAATATTCTTGCACAAGTGCACTGATATTATTTATACCGTTTTTACAATGATGCAGTAGTATACATAACAGTAAATCTTCTATTTTTTGTGAGAATAAAAATTCAAAATGGAAAGCAAAAGTAATGTAAGAGGGGCCTGGAGACGTGACTAATGAACAGAGAAAAATGTTATTTTAGTGCCAGGAATGTCTGTCTTGTTTATTCTGGACCCTATTTTGAAATTGGCAGCTTTTGAAATTTGTGTGAAATTGGCCAAATTGCCAATTTCTAACCACTTTATTGGGTAGTTGAAATCAGTAAATGGGCAGCTTCTTGTACTCAATTGATAGAACAAACAGAATTCTAGCAAAATAGCTATGATTTTAGTAGACTGAAACATTGGAATTAGCCAAAAATTGGGCAAAATTGCCGATGCATAAATATCGTCGAGACCACTAACTTTGCAAGAGCAAAGTTAGCGGTAAATTTTCCATCAACTTTCATACCTTTCGTGTCATTATGATCGGAAAAAGATTCTCTATCTTTTTTTTATTATTATTCAACCCAGAGAGGGAGTTAAGGATCGGGGGTCTCGATATTTTCTTCAAAATCATATAAGAAACACGTTACATAGCATATAGCACATAAACATGCTATCAAGTGGTGAGTACCGGCAAATCGAGGATGGAGGGTAAACATTACGTGTTCTCTTATTCAGCGTTAGAGAAAACAGTGAATCTGGCATCTGGTCCGGTCACCGCCCTTCATGAGCATTTGTTTACAATTCTCGGCAAGAATTATTCATTACTTCTCCCTTTGTTTATGATGGCATCTAAAGGTAGTTGTTAGAAAAGATTGAACTCAGTGAATATGGTATGTCGCTGTAATAATATGGCTGTGTAGTGTAGCCCAGAGGGAGCTACAGATGTGCATCTACATCTACCGGCTACCTACACTGAATTCCTACAAAGAAATACTACTCACCTCTTGCCCTACATTAAGACCATAAATATTTTAAGATAAGTAATGAATGTACTGTGGCAGTAAAAGACGAAGAAGGGACATAACCTTAGATAGGGCTTTGATACCTGAAGTCCTCATGGAGAGGGAGTCCCAACTCCCTCTCCCCCTCCTCTTAGCCTGGGCTGGCACTGGTGCCACACATATCTTTGTCACACCACCTGTTGTTGCACATGGCACCAGCAATGCCTGCAACCTACTACAAATGCCAATCAATGCAACAACATCTTTACTATCACTATCTGTTGCCTGTGTTGGGTCCTGAGATGTACTATGTTTCTTAGGAATAGCAATGGACTCTCCACAAGACCACATGCAGTGCCGTACATATTAATACTACACAGGAGAATAAGCTTCATCACAATCACTTCTGGACTGGTCATCAACTGCTAGGAAATCAATCCACATCAATCACCATTATCACCATTACTCACATCTGAGGCCAAGCCATGGGTGAATACGAGTTTTTGCTTACAGTGTGGTAGGCACATTCTGGACAAACCAACCATAAACATTAATGGTTGTGGGTCATCGGGGTTTTTTAACAATATTTCCGGCATCCCAAGCGTCACTTTCAGTCACTAAACATTATAAACCAAAGAACTCATCTTTGGGTCCATAATCCTCATTGTTAGAGCTGTCACTGGGGAATAAAACCCATTGAATTTCCCTGGGAATCAGATCTTTGCATTCGGAGAGTGAAGCAACACGAACTGCACTATTACAGTAAGGTGGCCCAGTGCTGGGGAATATTTGGACATACTGCTGATATGCAGACATGCATTCTCACAAAAAAAGCTTTCAATATCTAATATAGAAAAAATATTAACATTATATTGGTAAACTTACCCATAGCAGTCCATGCAAGGCCCATGACCACACCAGGAGGTGTTTCTTGATACATGCGGTCATGGCTGAATTTTGGTTTGCCCACAAAACTCTCTAGATTTTCATCTGTCACATTAACTTTTTCATTTTCACCACTGGCAACATTAAATGCTGCTCTTCGCATGATTCTCTCAATATGCTTCTGGAGGTTCCGGACACCAGATTCTCGGCAGTAGTGACGGATTAACTGGTCTATGGCACTATCTTGTAAAAATAACTGTAAAAATTAAGCTGTTTACTATTAACTGTGGCATAAAAACTGTCAAAAAAAAAATGGAAAACATGATAATGAAAGAAGAATTACCCACAAGCATTAACCCTTTCACTGTTGGTGCCATATAGATACATCTTACGAGCCAGTGTTGGTGACATATTAATACACCAAATTTCTAGCAGCTTCAAATCTAGCGAGAGAAAGCTGGTAGGCCTACAAGTGAGAGAAAGGGTCCGCATGGTCAGTGTGCCCAGTATAAAAAAAATCGGGGAGTCAGTGATGCATTGTGGGAACACCATTTCAGTATGTGTAATAAAGTTGGTAGAATTACCGACAATATGTAAAGTAAAAGGACACAAGTGCAACTAATGTGACATTTATTGTGGCAACGTTTCGCTCTCCAGGAGCTTTATCAAGCCATTACAAACGATACATGGACACAGAGGGTATATAAAGGCTCAGAGTGAGGTGAATACTAGTGAGGTACCATTTCGATGTTCACTAGTGGTGGTAGTAGTAGTAGTAGTAGTGGTAGTGACAAAAGTAATACAATATGGTAGAGCAATTAATTCGTACATGAGTAAAAGGATATAAAAGCTATTACTTGGGTAACATAAAAATAGGTTGGACAAATATAAACTGGAATGAGGCAGCTTGTTTCAGTGTTCACTCTCTGTGCTTTGTGTAGTATAACAGGAGAGACTATGTGATGGCAGGGTTTACTGTTTTCAGGAGGATTCTTGCTAAGACTTCGGAGATGGTGAAGCTGCCGTTGTTTTGTTTAATTGTATTCGAAACAGCGATCAGTGCTGATTCGAGGCACTTGCGTCTGCGGAAATTAGTTTCTTTGATCACTAATTGGGCGTCTCTGAATTTCATGAGATGATTGGTGGAATTTCGGTGTTGTACACAGGCGTTGTTCAGGTTATCGTTCCTACATGCGTAAATGTGTTCATTGAGGCGGGTGTCGAGGTTTCTGGCTGTTTCACCTACGTAAATCTTGTCACAGCCTCCACAGGGTATAGTGTAAACTCCTGCATTGACTGGTTCGTGGTGCTTGGATTTTGTCCTGGTTATATCCTTTATTGAAGTGCTAGAAGCGATGGCGACTCTGGTGTTAGCTTGTGAAAGTGCTTTTGAGTCGTTCAGTAATAGCTTTTATATCCTTTTACTCATGTACGAATTAATTGCTCTACCATATTGTATTACTTTTGTCACTACCACTACTACTACTACTACCACTAGTGAACATCGAAATGGTACCTCACTAGTATTCACCTCACTCTGAGCCTTTATATACCCTCTGTGTCCATGTATCGTTTGTAATGGCTTGATAAAGCTCCTGGAGAGCGAAACGTTGCCACAATAAATGTCACATTAGTTGCACTTGTGTCCTTTTACTTTACACCATTTCAGTAGTCCTTGTTCAGCATGCCTAATAAGAAATATCTGACTCCCTGGCAAATCCGGGACTCTTCTCTTCCCAAGTGATAGTTCTAACACAGAAGGAAGTGTCAGTGAAGATAAATTTCATGGTTTTGAGGAGTTTGTGACCAAAAGCAATGTCCAGGATACCAGATACAGATAGTGAAAAGGGATGGCAGCTTGGGCAGTGGGGAAAGCAGCTTGGGTGTTGGGGAAAGTGGCTTGGATGGTGGGGAAGACAGCGTGGATGGTAGGGAAGATAGTGTGGGTGGCTGGGAAGACAGTGTGTAAGTTTTTTCAGGTATACATGAATACAGTTACAAAGATTATTATACATAAGAACATAAAAAGAACATAAGAAAGAAGGAACACTGCAACAGGCCTACTGGCCTATGCGAGGCAGGTCCAATTCTCCCACCCACTTAAGCCAATGCCTTGATCTAGTGAGGTCAGACACGTTGCTTAAGGGAGGAGCACTGCATCTGACCTAGTAGCACAAGCTAGTCAGATCCAACTCACACCCACCCACACCCACTCATGCATTTATCCAACCTATTTTTAAAACTACACAACCTCTTAGCATCTATGACAGTACTAGGGAGTTTGTTCCACTCATCCACAACTCTATTACCAAACCAGTGCTTTCCTATATCCTTCCTGAATCTGATTTTTTTCCAATTTCAGGAAGGAGTGAGTGAAATCAACAATTTTTTTTTTTGGTCCAATTTCAATGAGATTTTGACAGTGGATTAAGCAGCATAAAAAACATATAAGCTGTGTTTGTTTTGACTGTTAGCCTTCAGGTTAGGTAGAAAAAAATAAATTATGCACAATTTCATGGGTCCTATAACTTTCCTTGTTCTACTAAATTCTGAAGATGTACAATGTTCTAGTTAACCACAGATGAAAGATAAAGGCTAGATTATTAACGGCCCAGGACAGTTTAGCGATAATATCAGTTGTTTCCATAAAGAAAAATGTTGTAGTTTTTTTTTTTTTTTTTTGAGGAGGAAAAAATCATTAACAAAAAGCTGTTCACAATATCGCAAATCCTCCCTGGGTGTTTGTAGAACCATCATTCCTCAATAACATCTGCAAAAATCATGACAATCCAATGAATACTTATCGCAGGCGAGGAATTACAATATCAATAACTTATTACTGAGGTTTTTTTTTTTTTTAATTTTTTATTTTTGGTGTGAAACTCTAGGGAAGTGGCATGCCAACTCTCAGTGTGCTACACCCCCACCTTCCTTCTTTACAGCCTGCCGGCTACTGAGGGACTCACTGCTCTCCACATTCTAGCCAGCACAGAAGTTGCCATGTAGAGTATTTACAATGAAAAAATCTGCAGGAAAAAAAAACTGCTAATTGCCAACATGTATTTTTGCTGATAGCAAGAACAAAAAAAATACATTTAATGAAAAACATACTTAGAAATATGATAGAAATAAGCTGATTAAATCAAAATGTTGCTAGAATTTTGCACTATTTTTCAGTAAGAAAACATTTTTTCCATAATTTTTCAATTTTAATGTCCTGATCACTGAAAAAAGGCTCGCCCCTCCCTTAAAGCCATTGCTGCGAGTCCTGTCTATACTAGATATTTTTAGCACACTATTTACATCCCCTTTATTAATTCCTGTTTTCCATTTATACACCTCAATCATATCCCCCCTAATTCTACGCCTTTCTAAAGAGTGCAGATTCAGGGCCCCTCAGTCTATCCTCATAGGGAAGATTTGTGATACATGGGATCAACTTTGTCATCCTCCTTTGTACGTTTTCCAGTGCACTCATATCCATTCTGTAATATGGTGACCAAAACTAATCTAAATGAGGCCTAACCAAGGATATATAGAGTTGAAGAACAACCTGAGGACTTCTATTATTTATACTTCTTGCTATGAAGCCAAGGATTCTGTTAGCTTTATTGCAAACACTAATGCACTGTTGTCTTGGTTTTAGATTACTGCTAACCAGAACTCCTAAATCCTTTTTGCAATCCGTAATATTAAGATCTACATTATTTAGTTTATATGTGGCATGGTTATTTTCCTGTCCAACATTTAGAACTTTGCATTTGTCTATATTAACCCTATGACTATTTTGGTCGTATATATATGTCTTATGAGGTACCGTGTTTGACGTATATATACTCATAAATTCTAGCGGCTTCAAATCAAGCAGGAGAAAGCTGGTAGGCCCACATGTGAGAGAATAGGTCTGTGTGGTCAGTGTGCACCATATAAAAAAAATCCTGGAGCATGCAGTGCATAATGAAAAAAAAAACTGACCGTTATTTTTTTAATTAAAATGCCGACTTTGTGGTCTATTTTTGTACAGTATTTATGGTTCTATTCTCATTTTCTTGGTCTCATTTGATAGAATGGAAAACATATTATAGAAATAGAGGTGATTTTGATTGATTTTACTATAAAAAACCTGGAAATGGAGCTCAAAGTAGGGAAAATGTTTGATTTTTGCCAATGTTCAAAAGTAAACAAATGATGTCATTGTCCAATAAATGTCCAACTAGCCATTCTAATATGTAGTCATGAGTGGGTTGACATTATTTATACAATTATTACAATATTGCAGTAGTCTGCATAATAGTAAATCTTCTATTTTTTGTTTGAATAAAAATTCAAAGTAGAATGCAAGAGTAATATCAGAGGGGCCTGGAGACGTGACTGATGAACAAAGAAAATGTTATTTTTGAGCCAGGAATGTCTGCATTGTTCATTCTGGACCTTATTTTGAAATTGTCATATTTTTTAATTTTCATGAAATTGGCCAAATTGCAAATTTCTGACCACATTATTGGGTAGTTGAAATCGGTAAATGGGCAGTTTCTTGTACTCAATCGATAGAACAAATGGAGTTCTAAAGAAATAGCTACGAGTTTGGTCAACTGGAACAATGGAATTAGCCGAAAATAGGGCTCAAAGTGGGCGAAATCGCCGATTTGTAAATATCGCCGAGGCCGCTAACTTTGTGAGAGCGTAATTCCATCAGTTTTCCATCAAATCTCGATTTTTTGGTGTCATTACAATCGGGAAAATATTCTCTATCATTTCATTAGAATTTTTTTTTTTTTTAATTTTGCGACACCAGTAGACACCTCAGGATTGGGGGTTGCGACAGTCAAGGGGTTAGACTGCAACTGCCACTTCTCCGACCACTGCATCAGTCTACTCAAATCATCCTGGAGTGCTCTAATGTCCTCATTAGAATGAAATGGACGGCCTATTTTGGTGCCATCAGCAAATTTGCTTATGTTGCTATTTATTCCCTCATCTGTCATTTATGTAAACTGTAAACAACAAGGGGCCCAATGCTGACCCCTGTGGAACACCGCTCGTGATGTGCCCCCATTCTGATTTCTCCCCATTTATGCAAACTCTTTGCTGCTTATTCCTCAACCCAGGAAAAAATTTCTCCTCCTATCCTGTGTACCTTAAGTTTCCTCAATAGCCTCTGATGTGGAACTCTATCAAAAGCCTTATTGAAGTCCATATACACAATATCATATTCAGTACCATGATCTACCTCCTCAAATACCTTAGTGAAGAAAGTTAGTAAATTCGTAAGACAGGAACGCCCCCTTGTAAAACCGTGTTGAGATTCATTAACTCTTTCAGGGTCGAGATGCCCTTTCCTAAACTTGTTCTCAGGGTCGAAAATTTTTCGGAAAAAAAAAAAAAAAAAATTATTTTTTCTTATGAAAAGACAGAATCTTTTCCCGATCATAATAACACAAAAAGTTTGAAATTTGATGGAAAACTTACGGAATTATGCTCTCGCGAGGTTAGTGGTCTCGACAATGTTTTGCATCAGCGATTTTGCCCACTTTGAGCCATATTTTCGGCCAATTCCAGTGTACTAGTTGACAAAAATCATAACTATTTCACTATAACTCCATTTTTTCTATCGAATAAGTACAAGAAACCACCCATTTACCAACTTCAACTATCCAATAAAGTGGTCAGAAATTAGCAATTTTGCCAATTTCACACAAATTTCAAAAGATGCCAATTTCCAAATAGGGTCCAGAATAAACAAGACAGACATTCCTGGCACTAAAATAACATTTCCTATGTTCATTAGTCACGTCCCCAGGCCCCTCTTACATTTCTTTTGCTTTCTACCTTGAATTTTTATTCTCACAAAATATACAAGATTTACTGTTATGCAGACTACTGCATTAGTGTAGAAATGGTATAAATAATATCAGTGCACTTGTGAAAGAATATCAGACTCACCAGTTGACGTGTATTAAACGCATGGCATGATTTATTTACTTTTGAACTTTGGCAAAAATCGAACATTTCTGCTACTATGAGCTCAATTTCAAAGTAGTTTTCATTGTGAAACCAATCAAAATCATCTCAATTTCTGTAATATGTCTTCCATTCTATAAAATGAGACAAGGAAAACTAGAATGCGACCATAAATACCATACGAAAACAGTGTAAAGTCGCTGTTTTAACCCTTTCAAGGTCCAGAGGCCAAATTTCAAAGTGCGCACCAGTGTCCAAGAAATTTCAAAAAATAATTTTGTTATTTTTTCTTATGAAATGGTAGAGAATCTTTTTCCGAAGGTAATAAAACAGAAAGTATGAAATTTGATGGAAAATTCACAAAATTATGCTCTCATGAATTTTGATGTGTCAGCAACATTCACGCATCGGCGATTTTGCCGACTTTGACTCCCATTTTAGGCCAATTACATTATTCCAGTCGACCAAATTCTTAGCTATTTCACTAGTATTACTTCTGTTCTATCGATTGAGCACAAGAAATCACCAAGTCAACTGTTTCAACTACAAAATAAAGTGATTGAAAATTGGTAATTTAGCCAATTTAATGAAAGTTTAAAATATTCCAATTTCAAAATAGGATCTAGAATAAACAATGTAGGCATTCTTGGCACTAAACTAACACTTCCTCTGTTTATTAGTTACATTTTCAGACTTTACAAATGAAATCCATTTTAATTTTTTATTCACATAATGAACTTTTATTCAAACCAAAAAAAAATAGAAAATTTACTGTTATGCAATATTTTAATACAGTGGACCCCCGCTTAACGATCACCTCCCAATGCGACCAATTATGTAAGTGTATTTATGTAAGTGTGTTTGTACGTGTATGTTTGGGGGTCTGAAATGGACTAATCTACTTCACTATATTCCTTATGGGAACAAATTCAGTCAGTACTGGCACCTGAACATACTTCTGGAATGAAAAAATATCGTTAACCGGGGGTCCACTGTAATAGTATAAATAATATCACCACATTTGTGAATGTATATTAGACCCACCAGCTGGCGTGTATTAGACGTGTGAGGTCATTTGTTTACTCTTGAACATCGGCAAAAATTTAATATTTCTGCTACTTTGAGCTCAGTTTCAAGCCATTTCCAGTACTAAAACCAATCAAAATCATCTCCATTTCTGCAATATATCTCCTATTCTATCAAATGAGACCAAGAAATCACAAGTACAGCTACAAAAACATTCGAAAAAACACTGCCAATTTGCTGTTTTAATCGAAAATTACGGTCTCAGTTTTTTCTCTCATTATGCACTGTGTGCTGCAGGATTTGTTTTATGTGGTGCAAACATACCACAAAGATGTATTCTCTCATATCTAGGCCCAAATTTACCGCTCACAGTTTATCAGAGTGAGCTAAGCTCATGGCGTAGATCTACGGTTTGGACCCTCAACGTAAAGCCGTGGATCTATGGCACGGACCCTGAAAGGGTTAAGAGATTAAGCGACAGAAAAAGGACAAAATGAAATGAACTCCTGACAGCACATGCTGCTGTGCCCAGCATCTCTTCACCTCATCAACCTTCACCAGCATCTCTTCTCCAAGGTAAACCATACCACGGGCGGGATTTGAACCCGCCCATTCGCTAGAGTTCGTCATGGCCATGCTAGCTGGAGATTCGTCTGTAAAAACTTGCATTTGTGGTCACAGTGGTGCCTATGCTAACCTTTCTATGGTGTAGAAATATACCTAGTTGGACGAATCTTATTGTGGCTAGCTGGTCCAGTGGCTAACACGACGGTCTGGAGTTTTCAGACTCTGACCGCGGGTTCAAATCCCGCCCGTGGTATGGCTTGTTTGCAATCGTGTCATTATGATTTCATGAGTCATGTTCTCCAAGGTAAATGGTGTATTATTATTATTTATTACATATTATTATTATTATTATTATGATCGTTGTTGTTGTTTTTCTTATGAAACTATGTAGTGATCTAATAGAGTCTGCCTTACAAACACTCCATTTTCTGTTATAATAAAAGCATGGGAAGGTGTGTAGTCAGGAGCAGGAACAATAGCCACTGTGCTGCCACCTCCACTACCGCTACTCAAATATGTAATGACATATTTCATTCATTCTAGTGTATATATTATGTTTCTATGTTATTAATATTGTTTATTATGTCATATTAGATGAACTGTGATAGATAAATAAGCCGTACAGTTGACATTAGGAAAATATTCAAGTATTTTGTAGTGCCTGGAATTCCACTGGGATGGATTAATTCAATTTCAATTAATTTAAATGAGGAAAATTATCTCAACAAATGAGCAAATCCAGATGCGAGCCAGGTCATGGAACGGATTAAACACGTAAGTAGAGGTTCCACTGTATACCTATACCTGGAGTATACCTGGAGAGGGCTTCGGGGGTTAATGCCCCCACAGCCCAGTCTGAGACAAGGCTTCGTGGCGGATCAGGGTCTGATCAACCAGGCTGTTACTGCTGGCAGCACACACACTGATGTACAAACCACAGCCCGGCTGGTTATGTACTGACTTTGGATGCCTGTCCAGCACCTTCTTGAAAACAGCCAGGAGTCTACTGGTAATCTTCCTTATGTATGCTGGGAGGCAGATGAAAAGTCTTTGGGCCCCTGACACTTATTGTGTTGTCTCTCAATGTGCTCATGGCACCCCCTGCTTTTCATTGAGGGAATGTTGTATCTCCTGCTAAGTCTTTTGCTTTCATGGGGAGTGATTTTCATGTGCAAGTTTGGTATCATTCCCTCTAGGATTTTCCAAGTGTATATTATCATGTATCTTTCTCGCCTGCATTCCAGGGAATATAAACCAAGGGACTTCAACTGTTCCCAGTAATTTAGGTGCTTTATTATACTTATGTGTGCCATGAAAGTTCTTTGCCTGCCTTGAAGGGGGCAGTTAGTGTACAGCAGTATTCTAGCCATATCTGAGCAGTTGAAATTTTTCTTCATTGAACTTCATATTTTGAGTGGCCCCATTTGAAGATTTGGTTGATGTCCTCTTGGAGTCTTGCTGTGTCTTCAATGGAGGGCACTGTCATGGCAGTTCAGGTGTCACTTGCAAAGGAAGACACGGAGCTATAGCTTACATCTCTGTCTATGTCAGATATGAGGATAAGGAATAGGATGGGAGCGAGTTCTGTGCTTTGTGGAACAGAGCTTTTCACTGTAGATGCCTCAGACTTTACTCTGTTTACTGTTATTCTATGTGTTCTGTTTACTAGGAAGTTATAGATCCATCTACCAACTTTTCCTGTTATTCCTTTATCACACATTTTGTGCACTATTACACCGTGGTTGTGCTTGTCAAAGGCTTTCACAAAGCCTGTGAATACTACATTTGCATTTTGTTTATCCTCTATAGCATCCAGGACCTTGTCATAGTGGTCCAGTAGCTGGGACCAGCAGGAGCGACCTGTGTTGCCCTGGGTTATGTAACTAATGGGTATCTAGGTGGTTGGCAATCTTGCTTCTTAGAACCCTTTCAAAGATTTTTATGAGATGAGATGTTAGTGCTATTGGTCTGTAGTTCTTAAATTAACCATGGCATGAATAAACCAGTAAATCAACAAAATATATATAAACTACATCATGTATAAACTAAACTACATCATGCATAACCAAGTATATCAACTTAACCTACACTATGTATAAGCAAGTATACCGCCGTAAGATAAACCACAGCAGGTGTAAACAAGTACACCAAAATAAGGTAAATCAAAGAAGGTTCAAAAAATTACCTCTATAGTATATTACTGCTTTTCTTTGCTTATATAACTTTGTGACAAAGTAGGATAAAACAGCACTATATATTTATAGGACTTGGCATTCTAGTGCAAAGAAAAAACTAGCTGATCATTAGTGATTAACCTACAAGAGTAAAGAAATATACTTTACAATTATCCAGTAATAGATGGTTGAATACTAATGCCCAGCAAATAAAACTCATTTTCAAACTTGAGAAAACAATCACACTGATGTCTTGGAGATAAGAAATGATAAACTATTTCATAAAAAGCAAACTAAGTACATATGGAGAATACACAAATGTATTGCTAATTGCTGTAAAAAAATGGATGGACAACTTTCCTGACTAAGTAGTATCGAGTTTTAAACATTGAATGACTGACCTTTTCATCATCCAGACCACTATTTTTCTGAGCAACAGGTACAAGGTAAGTTTTTGCAATAGCCATCTTCTCTTCTGCAACATACCCAGACACATCAATCATTTCCATTCTGTCACGCAGTGGCTCTGGGATTGTATCCAAGACATTTGCTGTGCAGATGAACAATACCTGAAGTTACAAAAGAAACATATTTCAGCACAAAACAGGATTCCAATTATTAAAAATTATATCTGCTGCAATGAATCTTTTTTAGAATATATACATCTAAAAATATAAAGGCATTACTTTCTTTGGTCACTCAATATATTATGGTGGGATGATGAGTCAAAAAAAGAATATATACAGACAATCTCATGTGCATCATTTGAACTGAGATGTCTGAACATTTCTAGCAAGACAGCTACTAAATGAATGATGGTGAATGTTTCCATTCTTGGGTCACCCTACCTCAGTGGGAAACAAGTCGTGTGTAAAAAACAAAAGCATGGATAGTGAATTGATGTGCTGTTGGAGTGTGACAAAGTAACCGGCAAGCCGGACTTGAGTCCTGGAGATGGGAAGTACAGTGCCTGCACTCTGAAGGAGGGGTGTTAATGTTGCAGTTTTATAACTGTAGTGTAAGCATGCCTCTGGTAAGACAATGATGGAATGAATGATGATGAAAGTTTTTATTTAATTTTCAGGCCACCCTGCCTTGGTGGGGAAACAACCAATAAAAGAAGTAAAATGTGTTTTATTATTACCACTGTACCAGATGCTTTCAAAAAGTTCCTGGATGAAATATGGAGGCACCATAGATCACACTGTGCAGTATACTCCTTTATGAAGTAGTGTAGTGAATTTTAACGAGCTTGGTTTTTCCGGTGGGGTTTGATGGACATTTTTGTAATGTTGTCATTGTATTGTTGCAATTTGTGTAACAAAACAGAATCTTTGAAAGAACAGCATGCTTAGCGTGCATGCATGCGTGCATGTGCTTGTGTGCACGTGTGTGTGTACTCACCTAGTTGTGGTTGCAGGGATCAAGTCACAGCTCCTGGCCCTGCCTCTTCAGTGGTCGCTACTAGGTCACTCTTCCTGCTCCATGAGCTTTATCATACCTCTTCTTAAAGCTATGTATGGATCCTGCCTCCACTTCATCACTTCCCAGACTATTCCACTTCCTGACAACTCTGTCACTGAAGAAATACTTCCTAATATCCCTGTGATTCATCTGAGTCTTCAACTTCCAACTGTGATCCCTTGTTGCTGTGTCCCATCTCTGGAACATCCTGTCTCTGCCCACCTTGTCGATTCCTCTCAGTATTTTATATGTCATTATCATATCCCCCCTATCTCTCCTGTCTTCCAGTGTTGTCAGCTCGATTTCCCTTAACCTCTCTTCGTAGGACATACCCCTTTCTCTAGTTTCCTTTCGTGCTTGGCTAGGTGTGGATTCCAAACTGGTGCTGCACGTCAATATGGGTCTAACGTACACCATGTACAGGGTCCTGAATGATTCCTTATAAAGATGTGAGAATGCTGTTCTTAGGTTTGCTAGGCGCACGTATGCTGCAGCAGTTATTTGGTTGATGTGCACCTCTGGATATGTGCCCGGTGTTATATTCACCCCCAAGATCCTTTTCTTTGAGTGAGGTTTGTAGTATCTGGCCCCCTAGGCTGTACTCCATCCACAGTCTTCTTTGCCCTTACCTAATCTTCATGACTTTGCATTTGGTGGGGTTGAACTCCAGAAGCCAGCTGCTGAACCAGACCTACAGCCTGTCCAGATCCCTTTTTAGTTCTGCCTGGTCCCTGTCCGACTGAATTCTTCTCATTAACTTCACATCATCTGCCAACAGGGACACACTTCGGAGTCTATTCCTTCCATCATGTCATTCACAAATACCAGAAACAGCACCAGTCCTAGGACTGACCCCTGTGGAACCCCACTCATTACAGGCGCCCACTCTGACACCTCACCATGTACCATGGCTCGCTGTTGTCTTCCCGAAAGGTATTCCCTGATCCACTGTAGTGCCTTCCCTGTTATCCCTGCCTGGTCCTCCAGCTTTTGCACTAATCTCTCATGTGAAAATGTGTCAAATGCCTTCATACAGTCCAAGAAAATGCAATCTATCCACCTCTCTATCTCTTGTCTTACTGTTGTCACTCTGTCATAGAACTCCAGTAGGTTTGTGACACAGGATTTCCTGTCCCTGAAACTGTGCTGGCTGTCGTTGATAAGCTCATTCCTTTCTAGGTGCTCCACCACTCTTCTGATAATCCTCTCCATGTCCTTGTATACTATACATATCAGTGATACTGGTCTGTAGTTTAATGCTTTGTGTCTGTCTCCTTTTTCAAAAATTGGGACTACATTTGCTGTCTTCCATACCTCAGGTAGTCGCCCTGTTTCAATAGATGTGTTGAAGATTGTTGCTAGTGGTACACATAGTGCCTCTGCTCCCTCTCTCAGGACCCAAAGAGAGAGATGTTATCTGGCCCCATTGCCTTTGAGGTATCTAGCCACTTAGCAGCCTTTTCACTTCTTCCTCGGTTGTATGTATTGTGTCCAACACTTGATGGTGTACCCCACCTCTCCATCTTTCTGGAGTCCCTTCTGTCTTTTCTGTGAAAACTTCTTTGAATCTCATGTTGAGTTCCTCACATACTTTGCGGTCATTTCTTGTGATCTCCCCTCCTTCCTTCCTCAGCCTGATTACCTGGCCCTTGACTGTTGTTTTCCTCCTGATGTGGCTGTACAACAGCTTCGGGTCAGATCTGGCTTTCGCTGCCATGTCACTGGCCCTGAGGGGTCTTTCATATGTGATGTCGTCAATATCTGCACTACTCAAGGTGAATACTAGGTCCAGTTTCACTGGTTCAGCCTCTCCTCTCTCTCTCTGGTAGCGTACCTTACATGTGGTACACGAAGTTTTCCAGTACCACCTCCATTATCTTAGCCCTCCATGTTTCTGGGCCCCCATGTGGCTCCATGTTTTCCCAATCAATTTCCTTGTGGTTGAAGTCACCCATAATCAGCAGCTTTGCCCTGCTCACATGAGCCCTTCTGGCCACTTCAGCCAGTGTGTCAACCATCACTCTATTACTCTCATCATACTCTTGCCTTGGCCTCCTGCTGTTCTGTGGTTGGTTATACATCACTGCAATTACCACCTTGAGACCTCCAGATTGAAGCATTCCTATTATGTAATCTCTCGCTTCTCTGTCTCCTCTCTCCAGCTCATCAAAATCCCATCATTTTTTGATGAGCAGTGCCACTCTTCCACCCCCTCTGTTCCCTCTTGTCTTTCCTCAGGATCTGATATACTGTTGGAAAGATGGCATCTGTTATCCCTGTGAGCTTGGTTTCTGTGAGAGCTATAATGCCCGGTAATACCACTGACTCTTTTGTGCCACTACTCCCACTTATTCGTTATGCCATCAGCATTGGTGTACCATACCTTCAGCTTCCTCTCCAACACTGTTTTGGGGGGTCTGTGAGGATGGGGGACCTGGCAGTGTGCTGTGGGATTCTACAGCATAGTGTGCATGTGCATGTATGCATGTGCACATGTGCATGTGCATGTGTGCGTGTGCATGCGTGCGTGTGCATGTGTACTCACCTATATGTACTCACTTATATGTGGTTGCAGGGGTCGAGTCATAGCTCCTGGCCCCTGATCGCTACTAGGTCCTCTCTCTCTCTGTTTCCTGAGCTTTGTCATACCTCGTCTTAAAGCTATGTATGGTTCCTGCCTCCACTACATCACTTGTTACGCTATTCCACTTCCTGACGACTCTTATGACTGAAGAAATACTTCCTAACATCCCTCTGACTCATCTGAGTCTTCAGCTTCCAATTGTGACCCCTTGCTTCTGTGTCCTCTCTCTGGAACATCCTGTCTCTGTCCACCTTATCTATTCCACGCAGTATTTTGTACATCGTTATCATGTCTCCCCTGAACCTCCTATCCTCCAGTGTCGTCAGTCCGATTTCCCTCAATTTTTCTTCGTAGGACATTCCCCTGAGCTCTGGAACCAGCCTTGTTGCAAATCTTTGTACTTTCTCTAATTTCTTGATGTGCTTGACCAGGTGTGGGTTCCAAACTGGTGCTGCATACTCCAATATGGGCCTGACATACACAGTGTACAGTGTCTTGAAAGATTCCTTACTAAGGTATCGGAACGCTATTCTCAGGTTTACCAGGCGCCCATATGCTGCAGCAGTTATCTGGTTGATGTGTGCCTCCGGAGATGTGCTCAGTGTTATGGTCACCCCAAGATCTTTCTCCCTGAATGAGGTTTGCAGTCTTTGTCCACCTAGCCTATACTCAGTCTGCAGTCTTCTTTGCCCTTCCCCAATCTTCATGACTCTGCATTTGGCAGGGTTGAATTCAGGAAGCCAGTTGCTGGACGACGTGTCCAGCCTGTCCAGGTCTCTTTGTAGTCCTGCTTGATCCTCATCTGATTTAATTCTTCTCATTAACTTCACATCATCTGCAAACAGGGACACCTCAGAGTCTATCCCTTCCATCATGTCATGCACTTATATCAAAAATAGCACCAGTCCTAGGGCTGACCCCTGTGGGACCCTGCTCATCACAGGCGCCCACTGTGATACCTCATTACGTACCATGACTCGTTGTTGCCTTCCTGTCAGGTATTCTCTGATCCATTGCAGTGCCCTTCCTGTTTTATGTGCCTGATCCTCCAGCTTCTGTACTAATCTCCTGTGAGGAACTGTGTCGAAGGCCTTCCTGGAGTCCAGGAAAATGCAATCAACCCACCCCTCTCTCTCGTGTCTTACTTCTGTTACCTTGTCATAGAACTCCAGAAGGTTTGTGCACACAGAATTTTCCTTCCATGAATCTGTGCTGGTTGTCATTTATAATAACAGTAAATCTTCTAGTTTTTGTTTGAATAAAAATTCAAAATAGAAAGCAAGAGTAATATCAGATGAGCCTGGAGACATGACTGATGAACAAAGAAAATGTTATTGTAGAGCCAGTAATGTCTGCACTGTTCATTCTGAGCCCTATTTTGAAACTGGCATCTTTTTTAATTTGCATGAAATTAGCCAAATTGCCAATATCTGACCACTTTATTGAGTAGTTGAAATCGGTAAATGGGCAGTTTCTTGTACTCAGTCGATAGAACAAATGGAGTTCTAAAGAAATAGCTAT